GCCGCGATCTGGGCCAGACCGGCGAGCCCGCCCGCCGGAAGAGGGGGCGGGGCCGCGCCCGCGCGGTCCTAGTGCCCGCCCTGCCCTGGGTCTGGGGGCGGGATACTGCCGGACTCGTCTTGGACCACCCAAGTGAATCAATCTCGCCCACTGCTGGAAGCAGGGACTTCTCTTTCCCCTTGGACGGAGATCATGGCTCTGCTTCTCTCCGGAGCTGGGAGGCCCTGGCGCCCGGAGTGAGGCGGAGGGCCCGGGCAGTGTGCGTTGGGAAAGGGGGCGGGCCGCAGCACAAAGGCTCACTTCTTCGGAGTCAACAGCTGGGTCTCGAGGGCCACGCGCCACCCTGGGGCCCCAGCTTCCAGGTGCTAGGCAGCCGAGGCCTGGCAACCAGGCCCGGAGAACCCGGCTAGGGCGGGAGGCCGGGCTGGGCGCTGGGCCAAAGGAACCTCGGCCCCAGGCTCCGGCTGCGCCCACATTCCTCCCTCGGCTTCGGCCCTGTAACTGAGGTCGGGCCCAGCCCAGCCTGCCCTGGGGTGTCTACTGCCGCCACCCCTACCCCTGAAAAGACCACAGTGCAAGCAGGCAGCTGATATTTTTATTGGCGCTACTTCCTAGTCCTCTGGGAAACTGGTCTGGTCCAGCCAGCTTTCCCCTTCTCCGAACCTGGTTAGGGTAATGGCGGGTGGTGAGGGAGAACCTTCAGCCGGGATCCCCTCTGCAGTAGACATATCTTGAGTCTTGTACTCTCACGCGGGAAGGGAGAGGGGGCAGAGGTTGTGCAAATCCCTGCCTCAGTATACGGATGGGGGCAAGTGACAGTGCTCTCGGACCTCCCTGCCCCAGGCAATGCAGAGGCCAGGCGGGCTGAACGGGCAGTCCTGGCAGGCCCTGGCTTGCCCTGCTCCATGGAGCTGCTCTTACCGTAGGCACCAAGGATTTATTTTCTAACTGGACTGGGGGAGGGGCGGGGTCTGGGTGCAGCCACAGTCACCTCCGGCCTTTTTTGCTAAGGCTTTGGGGACCACCCTATTTTCAAAGCTATGTCTGGCTTCCAATGCCACCAGGCTGGTCCCTGGGGACAGTGGATGAAGGAAGTGGAAATGAGGAGAAAAAGAGAAGCGTTGAAGGAATAGGGTGGTTTCAGGTTTACAATTCAAGGCCAAAAGCTTCACTGGCCCTTATATCCCACTGATGACAGTCTAGGAAGCTGGTGGGGACAGTTATGCCTCACGCACCTGGGCTTTTCAGGAACATTCAGAGGAGAAGCAATTATCAGGGTGGTTGAGAAGGATATCCAAGTGCCTCACGGGGGGACTGGCTCATCTGTGACTGCTGAAGGGTACAGAAGAGAAACCCCTGTAGCCTCCCAGAGGGCCAATGACCCAGCAGGCACCACCCACCTCCGCTCCCACATTGTGCCCTGGATTCTGGACCCTGCCAGGCCAGAAATTGAGGTACAAGCCAAACTGTACTTGGGGATAGGAGGAGAAAGTGTGCATGTGAGCCCCTGGGAGCAGTAGCGGCAGCCCTTCGATAAGGCCCAAGAAACACTTCCACCCTTGCCCACCCCAGGCAGGAAGCTCAGTTTTACCCCTCAGCTTCTGCTTTCATTTATCTGGGACTGTAGAAGCTTTTGGTGATTTGTGCTGTGACCACTGGGATCAGGGTGTGGGCAGGTGCCAGCTGGGTTAACCCTTATGTAGGTGGGGTGGGAAAAGTTATAACTCACGTCTAACAGCCAGAAGAGTGTTCCCATGGCAACAAGACACAGAGGTCACTGTGTAGGGGTGTGTTTCATCCAGCTGCACTGGCCGAGGGAGTCCGGCATCCTCATCCCTCCTTCCCAGTCGACCTCGGGCTCCTTTGCCCCAAGAGTACACCTCACCTTCTGTCAAAGAGCATCCCAAGGAGGAAGATGGGAGGGGGGCACAGCCTAGGCAAGCAGCTTTCTCCCAGACTGCCCCCCATATGAGGTTGCTGAGTCCAACAGTCCTGAGCATGAAACCCCCATTGCCCACAGGCCTGCTCACACCTGTCTGCCCCCACGGTACCCACTACTCACCCGCCCCAATGGCTACAGTGAAGGCATCTCCACAGGCCACGACTGCCACCTTGATGCCCTGGAGGCCTTGGACCCGACAGGGTGCCCGGCTGCTCCGGCGGGCACTGGTACCCAATTGTCCATGCTGATTGCTGCCGAAAGTGTAGCAGTCACCTGAGGCTGTAGGGTGGAGGGGAGAGGGGTGCCTGAACCAACCCCAAGGAGGCCAGGTGAGCCCACCTCTGGCCTCCTTTACACAGGTTTTACTCACCAGTCACAGCAGCTGAGTGAGCAGTGCCCAGGTCCACACTCAGGAGGGGTTCCAGGTCCAGAGGTGCAGAGCCTAGTGGTATGAAGCTCAGGGCTTCCTCCACTTGCTGGTGAGGGGAAGGCTCCTCCCCCAGGGAAAGGTGGTCCAAACCCAGCTTGTTGAATCTGAGGGCAAAGCCAGAAGCCAAGTCCAACTGACAGTTTTGTATAGACTGCTCTGCCCCCACCTATCTGGCAGGAGCTGGTTCACCAGAGCACAGATCCAACCCTGCCTTTAACTGAGCACTGCCCTAGCCTCCCCTCAGTTCTGGCCCTCAGTGGGAGGTGGGCAATGACATATGGAACACTGGCAGCCAGTGAGTGTGAGGGGACAGGCTAGTCATCCTTGTGCACCTGCTCACCTGTTGCTCCCACAGGCCAGTGCTCGGCCAGGCACAGTGAGGACCATGGAGGAATCGATGCCACATATAACCCGCTGGGCTTCCTGTCCTAGGGTCATGGGCACCTGCTGGGGGCAGCTGTGGGACTCCCTGGTACCTAGTCCCAGCCGGCCTACAAGGAGAAACCTGGATGAGGACAGCTTGAGCTTTAGGGTTAGTGATGCCTGGATGAGGAGGGCCCACCTAGAAGAGTGAAGGTTGTTCCCTCAGCCTGAAATGCCCTTCCCTGGCCCCTCTACTGGTCGAAATCCTACTCTTCCTTTAAGGCTCTGTTCAGACTCAGATGCCACCTCTATCTTCTCCAGGTGGAATCCAGTGCTAATCCTTGGGTTCCCACACCTCTGAACCTTGGGCATAGCCCTGACGCTGTCGTCTATCATAATGGTGTGTGATCCCTCCTCCCACGAAACATGAGGACAGGAACCCCATCTATGTCATCTCTATAGTTCCAGTGCCCAGAGAAAGCCTCAATAAATATCGTCGGACGAATGAAATCTCCCTCATTCTACTCTAAGCACATGAAGAAGCCAGAACCTGTTCATCTCAGCTCCCAGCACAGGGTGGGTGCATAGTGGGTGTGCAGTATAGGTTTTTTGAACAAATGAGTGAACAGAACTGGAGAGAAAAGGAGGCGAGAATGGGCCATTGGGTGGAAGGTGGGTTGAGGAGGAGTGAATGAGGGCTGGAAGCGCTGTGAGATGGAGCAAAGGTAAGGCGCTTACCACCATCTCCGCGGCCCCAGGCAAAGAGTTCTCGCTCAGTGGACAAGGCCAGAACGTGAGAGGCCCCGCAGGCCACCTGCACCATTTCATAGCCCAGCAGGGCCTCCACAATGGTGGGCTGGAGAGCAAGGGGAGGCTGTGGGCAAGGGGTCTGGCACTAGCTATCTGGTCTCTGGTCTCAGCACCCTCCAAAGGGTGCTGCAAAGTCCCATGAGGTGTCTGTCTCTTTCTCACCCCGCTCCCCTCCCCACCACACACACACTCTGCCAGGTGGGCAGCCTTTAGGGAAGTCTAGTCTTTCTGTACTTCCCCGGATGCAGCCCAGAACAGGTGCAGGCTGAGAGCGAGAGGGACCCATGGCTGCTAGGAATTCCCCTGCTGCCCCAACCTGGGTGTCAGCTCTCAGATGTGGGCTCCCTGCCATCCTCCTACTTCCTCCTCCCCAAGTACACGTGACACCCACCTGGCTAATGTCAGTGAGGCTGCCATGGCCTAGGCACCCGTTGCTGCCACTGCCAAAGGTCATGATGATGCCTCGGTCTGGGGAGGGGGCAGTTAGGAAAGGGAAGGGGGAGGGGTTAGGCTGTTTTTCTAGACAGGCCAGTCCAACTTTGGGTTTAGGGAAGCAAGAAAAAGTTGGCAGCTAGGGCTGGAAGGATGGGCTAGGAGGGAGAGAAAAGTGTGTGAGCTTGGACAAGTGACAGCCTTTGAGCCTTAGTTTCTCCATCTGTCAAATGAGGATAATATAACTACCTTGCTAGGTCTGTCATGAAGGGTAAAGGAGATTGTGTAGGTAAAGCCCCTGGTGCCCAATAACTGGGAGATAAAAAGTAATAAGTGAGCAGTTTGCAAATGTCAGGCAAGGAGAAAGCTGTTCTGGGGGGCCCTTTCATGGGAGGGAGGGGAGGGACAGGCTAGTCCCGTGGCGGGCTAACCGGTCAGGCAGGCGGTGAAGAGATCTCCGCAGGCCACATGCTTGATGGTCACACCAGACTGGCCCTCCAGGAAACGGGAGATGAACTGGGGCTGCTGCTGCTCCATTGCCCCCGGGAGGAGGACGCCCCCGCCGGCGCCTAGGGGCGGGGCCTATGGAGAGGGGCAGAGAAGGACGTGGCTGGCGCCTGAGCACCCTCCCATCCCTCCGCAAGGCGCTCCCACCCGAGTCCACCCCCAGCCTGCTCACCTCCCACAGGATGAGGCGCCCAGAGCGCGTGACGCCGGCCTTCTGGGTGCGCCCCGCTGCCACCTGGACCACCTCTGTGTTGAGCATCGGCAGCCGCAAAGGGGCGCTGAGTCCTCCGCCCCACGCATACACAGAGGACAGAGGTGGGGGGATTGCCGGCCGCGCAGGCCCCCGGGGGGCGCCTGCGGGGACAGCGCATCGGGCTTATTAACTGGTGGAAACAGCCGGCACCTGCAGA